GTGCGTGGCCCTCCGTGCATCACTTTCGCCCTGTGTTTCGGCGCGCTCGTCTCACAGGGGGCGGGTAGCGTCTGATGGGTGGATGGATCGGCTAGTTCATTCATTGCAGCGCTTCGCTGGGCTCTGGCGCTAGACGCGGGCGGTCGGCCTGCCCACGAGGACTCGCAGGCTAGTGAGAAAACACGCACCTGATGGGTCGGGAGCATTGACCGCCTGGAAATTGGGGAGTTCTCTGGGCGGAATAAAAAAGATGCCTTTCATAGGCGAGCTGTTAATTCGGACATAGACAGTTGAAGCTTCTGCTGAGATGTGGAGTAAGAATTCTGTGGTTACGCGGTGGACGCTGTGAGCTAAATTGTGATGGCAGTTTCCGTGCTTGGAGTTTACCGGGCCCTTCACCAGCCTGGATCCGACTGAGGCCACAGAGCAGTGCCCTCACGTTGTCAGCGGCTGCCAGTTTGGTTCGGACTCGTAGAGACTCTGCGTGGGACAGCGCCATCCTCACGGCCCCTCCGTGTTTGAGCCCCTTGTTGCAGCCACGGTGTCAGTCCAGGTCCTTGAAGGCCTTCCTCTTGGTCATCCACACGATGTGCTTCTCCAGGGTCTCCCCGGCCCTCCCTTTCCCAGTGAAGAAGTAGTGGCAGAGTGAGGTACCCGGGCTGGCCCTGTCCGTAAGTGAGGCTAGGACCCAGGACCCAGGACCCAGGACCTAGGACCCTGGATTGGCTCTCTTTCCACTGCACCAGGTGGCCTGCATGTTTTCACGCTGTTTTAATTTTTAAAAAAATAACACCTGAGTCCATCTGTGACCCAAAGGGAACTTCGTTAGGCCACCAATAGCCTTTCAACAGACTTTTATGGACTCTTAGATCATCATCATCTTACTGGATTTCTTCTCTTGTCTCTCACTTGGGTGATTGTATCTGCACTCAGACGTGAATTTCCTTACACGAGCGAGACCCAAACCTGGACCTTCTGCCCAGGCCGTTTCTCCTAGCTTCAGCTGCTCAGCCAGACACCCACCGGACATCTCTCCATGGATGCTCTGTCGGCATCTCAAACTCCAGTCTCTCCTAAATGTTACGCACGTCCTTTCTCCACAAACTGCATTCCAAGTCTACGGGATTGCAGTCGCTATCCACCCAGTTTCCCCAAGCACACAACCTAGCTTGGGTTTTCCTTGCACTGCTAACAGTAGATTGATCACCAACTCTTGCCAAATTCTGTTTTCCAAAAATCTGCCACATCCATCTTTTCTGTCTCTACTGCCCCTTGCTTGTCCTGGGTGACTGGGGAGTAGGGTCATAACTTCCAAATGGTCCTTTCTAGCTTGAATCTCAGCATCTTCCAGTCTTTTCCGTTCTGCTATCAAAGTGACCTTCCTGCAGTCCCAGTGTCATCACACCACTTAAATCCCATCAGGTGTCAGCACCTTTAACGTGACATCCACAGTCCCTAGCATACGTTCAAGGTCTCCTCTGATCTTTTCTGCACGTCCCCCTCTACCCTTAGCTCCAAACCACTGTTTCTCAAAGTTGCCGTGGTGGGGACTTGCATTAGAATCATGGATGTGTTGTTAGAAATGAAGGTGACTCCGGGGGTAATGTCCAGGAATCTGCCTTTTAAGCCAGTTATGCACTGACATTTGAAGCCCCTGTTCTGGACACTTGCCCATGTTTCCCTTCTTTCCGTCCATACACCTCAGCTTCTGTATCTCCCTCTTGACCTTGGTAACTCCTGCTCTTCGCACTCCTGTCAGCCCTCATTAACATAACGAAGAAGACCCTGTTTCCAAACAGGATCACATCCAGGGGGACTGGCGTCAGGCCTTCGCCTTGGAGGACACCGTGCATTAGTGCGGTGAGCTGACGAACAAGTCAGCACACGACTGGCGGCTTCCCCAGCCGTCAGAGCAGGAGGAAGGCCAGCAGGACACGGCTGTGTTGTCACCTTGCTCTTCAGGGGGGTTGCCCTACTTGACTTTCCTACCTGAGGCCACCACAGTGGCCACCTCATCACATCTTCCTGTCTGTGAATGTGATCGTTTGTGAAAAATACATTAACTTTATATGTGAATGATAACCCTCAAACCAAACCCATGGCCACTGAGTGGGCTCTGACTCATAGCTGCCCTAGAGGACAGAGTAGAACTGCCCTAGAGGGTTTCCAAAGCTGTCATCTTTCTCCTGCAGAGCACCTAGTGGCTTTGAGCAACTGACTTTTCGGTTACCAGCCCAGTGGCTAACCACTGTGCCACCAGGGCCCCGCTTTGAATAGTGATAGTCCATCTTCATTCCTGGTCTTTGGTGACTTGGGAAGTTGGACATTTTATGGAGCTGCACGTACTTCCTCCCCAGTGAGTTTCCTGTGTGTGTCTTTGTCATTTCCTGTCACCATTGTTTTCTTGTTTTGATGAAGCCTTTCATGTTATTACTTTGTTGTCAGATCCTTTGTCTGTGAGGGACAGACGTGACTCTTGGTCAGTGTTGTAGTAGGAAGAACCAGGAGGCTGGCGTCTCCTTCCTCTCTGCCTGTCTCCCTCTCCTCCTAATAATGAGGAGATGGTGACCTGAGACGGAAAGCAAGCTGCCTGTAGGTGGAAGGACGTGGAGAGAGGAAGACTCTGGGTGGGCAGGGTGAGAGCTGGCTTGCGTGAGGCCACAGGGAGAAGATGAGAAACTGCTGGTCGGGGGGCAGGAGAGGCAGGGGAGGGTGGAAGGAGGGCAGGGCAGGTGACGGGACTGTACTCCCCTGGGCTAATGTTGCTTTTCTTTTCTCTGTTTCTGGTTCTGCAAAGCCAGCACACCCCTGGGAGAAGATGCCCGTGTTCTTTAAAACCCTTCGAAGTCACTGGAAGAAAACAACAGCTGGGGTCTGTCTGCTGACCTGGGGAGGCCACTGGCTCTATGGAAAACACTGGTAAATACCCGACAGCCCCGCACTCTTCCCCAACAACAAAAAGCCCCAAAGAGCCTGAGGCCGAAATCTCGGTCAGCTGTGTTGGTGGCTGTGAGGTTGTGTAACAGCACAATGGTGTTAGAACTGAAACAGCCCAGAAAGCTTGTGGTAAGCAGTGTGTAGCTGGACCTCTGGGGGACTGTTAACACCCGTGCTCCAGGGGAGATGGGTGATAGGAGTGAGGAGGCCGAGGGCCAGTGTGGAGAGGAGCAGTCATCTCCCGCGTGGTGCTTGGCCCGGCTTTCTGTATCTGGGAGTTTCTGCCTTCATATCCCAGCAGGCACCCACTGGCCCAGCCTCCCCCTGGCAGTGTGCTCATGGCCAGCTGCCCCTTGGCCTGCCTTGCCCTGGGTGATGCCCTTTGTATAAAGGAGGAATTGAAAGGAGGCCTGGGTGCTTTTAGCCTTCTGGCCAGAAGGGGAGGCAGAGGGAGCGCCAGGGCTCCTCTTGTTGACTGTGGCCCTAAGATGAAACTGAGCAGGGAAGTGTTTCTGTGAAAATCGCACCGGTTACTGAGACAGCCGGTCAGACTGCCGTGTTCTGGGGATTCAGGGCTACATCCTCACACAGCAGCACCCTCTGAACCTCAGGGCTCCTACACTGGCTTCACCACACAGAACGCGGGACAGTTACGCTGTCTGAGGTCGCGCTCCATGTTGGAAAGGAGACTCAGACCAGCACTCTGTGAGTGGTCCCAGTCCCCCTTCAGAGGTAACTTTATGCCGTCGAATGTGTCTGGTCTCCTGCAGCTACGTGGGAAGACGGCGTCTCTCCCTTCTTTCTTTTTTCAAGTATTTAGTTTTGAACATTTTATTGTGGTTTAGGTAAAAGTTTCCAAAGCAAATCTGTCTTCCATTCAACAATTTTTGTGTAGATTGTCTCATGATATTGATAGTGATCCCCTCAAGGTATCAGCATCTCCCCACTTCCACCTGGTCCCCGTTGCCATTCATCCAGCTTGCCTGGCCCTTTTCTGTGTTTTCCTTTTGGGCAAATGCTGCCCTTCTGGCCTTGTGCAGTCACATGTTCTGAGGAGCACGTTTCTCACGGGTGTTAATGATCCTTCATAGGCCTGCCTGCTGTTTGGCTTGAGGTGGTCTCTGGGAGTGGGTTCAGTAAATTTGAAGGGTGTCTGAGGGCCGTGGCCCCTGGGGTTCCACCAGTCTCTGTCAGACCAGGAAGTCTGGTCTTTTTTTATGAATTTGAATTGTGTTCTACATTTTTTTTTTCTCGCTCTCTCTGGGTCCTTCTGTCGTGTTCGTGGCCAGAGCTGTCAGTAGTGGTAGGGGGGCACCATCTGGTTCTTCTGGTCTTGTGCCAGTGGAAGCTGTGGTTCGTGTGGCCCGTTAGTCCTTTGGACTCTTTGTTTCCTTGAGTCTGTGGATGCCTTCACTCTTCTTCATTCTGGACAGGAGGAAACCACTAGATGGACGCCCTTCTTTTCTTTCCAAATATTCTACAGCTGAAGAACTTGGATTCCGTCGGCATCTGCAGAAGAGGGCAGTCCCAACGAGCCTGGGATCTGTGGTGTATAGTGAAGAAGGCAGGAGAAGCGTTCTGAGGAGTGGGGTGTGAACCATGGCGTATTTGACTTCTCCTTTTTCTGACTTCATCTGGGTTCTCCGGGAGAACGCCTTCTACTTTCTGCCGAAGTAGAGCCTAGGATTCCCTTTGTTGGGGTCCTAGTAGCCAGCTCAGGCAGGGCACTGTCCACCTTCCCAGGACGCCTGTGGCTTCTACCGTCAGGCGAGAATTAGAGGAGCTCGCTGTGGCCCCTGCTCTGGACATCATACAGCTGCTAGGATAATGGGATAGTAGTGTGGAAAACTCTCTTTCACAGCAGCCGTGCCATCTTACAGTCCCACCAGCAGTGGGTGAGGGGTCGATGGACTCCTGAGACCACGAGGGCCCCCAGGGCTCCGGCACTAATGAGGCTTCCTTCTGACTGGGATGGGGAACAGCTCTAGCCAGTGGTCTGTCAGGTGCCAGAGGCCTGGTCTTGCTCTCTGTCTACCCTGGACAGCCATGGTTGCTGCCAGAATGCAACCCCATGGCCCTGCCACTCTTCTCAACCCTCTTCTAGAAGCTTTGATGCTGCTTAGTATTTTTGCCCCTTTAAATCTCTCTAACCTCAGCCTTTTCATGGAGTACTCCACACACCCTTTCTCTTCAGCTGAGCTTGTCATTTTCCTGAGAGAGTCGTACCCTGCAGCCCTCTGGTGTGGAAGCTGTCCTGCCTTTTGAACGGGCCGAGGTGGACTTGGCCTTTTAGCTCCCCAGTATCTCTTCCAAACATGACTCTTCCATCCTCTTGGAAAAAGCTCTTCTCCTTGGAGGCTTGTCACATCTCGCTGGGTCTTAGACCATACATCTTTTTTTTAAGATTTTTATTGTGATTTTCCATACGGCAGTTCGTACACATTTTGTTTCATGACATTAACTGTAATTCCCCACAATGCAACAGCTCTCTTCCCACTTCCTCCCTGTAGTTACCTCTTCCCTGTGTCCTTCCCTCCCATGTACTCCCCATTCCCCCAGCGGTCTCCCTGTGCAAACACTGCCCTTCTATTCTCCCATGATTGATCACTCCAAGGAGTGTATCTACCTGATGTAAATGTTCATCCCATATGCCTGTCTTTTGTTTGGCTGGAAGCCCCAGGAGTGAGTTCACTTCCAGACCTGAAGGGTAACTAGCAGCCATAGTCTCGGGTCTCACCAGGCTCTATCAGACCAGCAAACCTGGTCTTTTTTTTTAATGATTTTCAGTTTAGTTCCACATTGTTCTCATACTCTATCCAGGATCTCCTGTACCAATCCCCCTCAGAGTCATTGGCAGTGGTACCTGGGCACCGTCTGGTTCTTCTGGCCTAGACCCTATATCTTGTGTGACCCAGACCCTACATCTTGTCTGGCATAGACCTGAATCTTATTTGGCCTGGACCCTACATCTTGCAGCTCTTGGGATCTCGGCTCCATTAGGCTGAGCTTTGGTGCCTGGCTGGTCTATGGCCTCTCTTTCCAAGTCCTGTCATCTCCTGAGTTCTCTTGGTGTTGTGTGGATGGATGACCCTTCAACATCCTGGGTTGAAAAAAAAAAGTAAAGAGGAGAGATGTGATAGGATTGGCGAGATAAGGTGGACTCATCTCAGCAGGTGTTGGGCAGGGCTGCTTGGAGCAGCGCCTGGCACAGAGGCCCCCATCCTGGGCCACTCCTGTCCTCTCTGGCCTTCCCCCTCCTCAGGGAATTGTGGGATGGGGTGTCATGGCAGTGGGCTCGCAGGGCAGGTTACGATGGTGGTGACATGAGCATTGGCAGGCAGTGGAGGTGACATGTGGAGGCTGGCAAAGGGTGGGACCTGACTGTACAGCCGCATTTTTCCAGGACAGTCAGGGAGAACCTGGAAAGTGTGTGGCCTGGGTGGGTGGCATTTTACAGGAGGGGTGTCGCGAGCAAAATGGTGGTCAGGAAGGCCTAACCCTGCATGGGCTGCATCTGAGGAAGCAAGTCTGAGGCCCAGAGGGCAAGTCCACCCAGACCAGGGTGGCTTTGTGTGAAGGAATAAGCGGCGTCCAGGAGGTGACCATGAGAGCCAAAATATGATCTAGAATATATCCTGAATTTAGAGACCATCTAAAGAATAGATATTATGCACTGGACACGAGTGACTGAAAACCAGAAGAATTGTGGGATGATATCAAGAGCATCATCCATGAAGAAAGCAAGAGGTCACTAAAAAGACAACAAAAGAAGAGAAGACCAAAATGGATGACAGAAGAGACTGAAACTTGCCCTTGAGTGGAGAGTAGCTAACGCAAATGGAAGAAATGACAAGACAAAAAAATTGAACTGAAGATTTCAAAGAGCAGCTAAAGAAGACAAAGCCAATTACTATAATGAAACGTGCAAAGACCTGGAGTTAGAAAACCAAAAGGGAAAAGAACATGCTCGGCATTTCTCAAGCTCAAAGAATTGAAGAAAAAATTTAAGCCTCGACTTGCGATATTGAAAGATTCTAAGGGCAAAATATTGAATGATGCAGGGAACATCAAAAGAAGATGAAAGGAATATACAGAGTCACTGTGCCAAAAAGAACTGGTCGATCTTCATCCATCTCAGGAGATGGCATATGATCTAGAACCAATGGTCGTTACTGAAGGAGGAAGTTGAAGCTGCAGTGAAGGAATTGGCAAAGAACAAGGCTCCGGGAATTGACGGAATACTCATTGAGATATTTTAACAGACAGATGCTGCACAGGAGGCACTCACTTCGTTATGCCAGGAGATTTGGAAGACAGCTACCTGGATAACTGACTGGAAGACATCCATATTTGTACCCATTCCAAAGAAAGGTGATCCCACAGAATGTGGAAATTATCGAACAATATCATTAAAATTTCACGCAAGTAACATCTTACTGAAGATAATTCAAAAACGATTGCAGCAGTATGTTGACAGAGAACTTCCAGAGGTGCAAGCTGGATTCAGAAGAGGACATGGGACAAGGGATATCATAGCTGCTGT